AAAAGCCAATGAAATTCTGGGCTGCATCAATAGGAGTATAGCATCTAGATCAAGGGAAGTAATAGTGCCACTGTATTCTGCTCTGGTCAGACCTCACCTGGAGTACTGTGTCCAGTTCTGGGCACCACAGTTCAAGAAGGACACTGACAAACTGGAACATGTCCAGAGGAGGGCAACCAAAATGGTCAAAGGCCTGGAAACGATGCCTTATGAGGAACGGCTAAGGGAGCTGGGCATGTTTAGCCTGGAGAAGAGGCGGTTAAGGGGTGATATGATAGCCATGTTCAAATATATAAAAGGATGTCACATAGAGGAGGGAGAAAGGTTGTTTTCTGCTGCTCCAGAGAAGCGGACACGGAGCAATGGATCCAAACTACAAGAAAGAAGATTCCACCTAAACATTAGGAAGAACTTCCTGACAGTAAGAGCTGTTCGACAGTGGAATTTGCTGCCAAGGAGTGTGGTGGAGTCTCCTCCTTTGGAGGTCTTTAAGCAGAGGCTTGACAACCATATGTCAGGAGTGCTCTGATGGTGTTTCCTGCTTGGCAGGGGGTTGGACTCGATGGCCCTTGTGGTCTCTTCCAACTCTATGATTCTATGATTCTATGATTCTATAACTTCCCACAACTTCCTGCGGATCTGGCCAACTAACCTATTTAGGGGTGACTACCTGCCAACCTAGGGACGCGGGTGGCACTGTGGGTTAATCCACAGAGCCTAGGACTTGCCGATCAGAAGGTCGGCAGTTCGAATCCCACGACGGGGTGAGCTCCCGTTGCTCAGTCCCTGCTCCTGCCAACCTAGCAGTTTGAAAGCAAAGTGCAAGTAGATAAATAGGTATCGCTCCAGCGGGAAGATAAACGGCGTTTCCGTGTGCTGCTCTGGTTTGCCAGAAGCGGCTTAGTCATGCTGGCCACATGACCTGGAAGCTGTACGCCGGCTCCCTCGGCCAATAAAGCGAGATGAACGCCGCAACCCCAGAGTCGTCAGCGACTGGACCTAATGGTCAGGGGTCCCTTTACCTTACCTGCTAAAGGCACTGGTCACCAAACCAGTGCAAAGTAGACAAAAATCCAGCCAGCAAGAGCAATCAGCTGACAGCCTCCCCCCCATCCTACCTGACTTCAAAATGGCAACTACTGTAAGCATTACCTATGCACTGAATACAGGACTGGAGAGTGGGTGCCACAAAAATGCAGAAGGCAGAGGAAATTGAGCAATGGGCTTAAGTAGCCGAGTGTCCAGCTCTCCCCACCCCACCCCCCAGCTTGGCACTGCCACAGTGCATGTATGAGGCCAGATGCCAGGCTGCCTTTCTTACAAATGCTGCCTTGAGCCACAGCCATCTTTGGAGCAGCAGAAGCAGCAGCTGGAGTCTTCTTTTCCCCCAGTCCTAGACAACCAGCTTCCATACACAGTATCTGTTTGAACCAAGTTTTTCCCATTTCTGTTGCTATTGAACAAGTAGCTCTAACATCTGGAGCCCTCAACTAAATTCAGCTGCTCCCAACCATGCAGGTTAGAACCTACTAGAATCTGGTAGTCCTGGTCCAGAAATAATTCCTTTCCAGCCTGGATCCCTGAATCTGGCTTGGATTCTGACCGGGAAAGATATCCTTCCCAGTCTGTTCTTTTATTCCTATTATTTCACATGCTTCCACACATTTTGTCGATTATAAATTTCACAGAATTGGCCACAGTAGAATGATGGCTAGTAATTGTTACAAATAGTATCATCTGATCGGGATTTCAGATACTCCATGTTATTTCTCATCCCTCTACTGTTTTCCACCACTGTGTACTTAGCATTCAGTGCCCACTGAGCATGCTCATTCCTCATTAAGTATTTTGTGTGTGTGTGGCTGGGGTTTCCCCAGGGATATTTTTTTATAAAGATTTTTTCCCCTTGTCATCCAAAACACAGGCTGCTTCTGCAAAATATTAGGATTCCTCCTCCACCACACACACCTGTTAATACCGGTACCTCCCTCTTGTGCACACAAAATGCTGTTTTGTCTAGTAGCATACAGACAGCTTAGAGCACTATCAATATATATGTTTCTCCTACTTCAGCAGAGTGATATAGAACGTTTTTGAAGGGATAAAGAAACACCATGAATTAACAATAATTCCTCACTTGGCATTTAAATATAATTTCACAAATTACATATGTGCTTACACACATATTCATTAATTACAGGGTTAAACGTCAATCTAGTTATTTTTCTTTCCATCTATTTGTCCATAAACATAGCTTTAATCCTCCCAATGAAATACAGTGGTACCTCGGTTTTCAAACATAATCTGTTCTGGAAGACCGTTCAAGTTCCAAAATGTTCGAAAACCAAAAACTCAATGCGGAAGCATCAATACAGAAAGCTCAGTACTGGTAAAAGGTGTAGTGCTCAAAGGAAGCCCATGATGTTAAAGAGAGAGTCCTATTGTTGTTGTTGTTTTTCCTTTGCAGGCAACAGTATAGTCGACACTTTCCCCCAGCAGGTATTGAAGTAATTTTCAATTCTATTGTGGGCAAATGGCATTTGAATAACCATTTGCAAAGAACGGTTATACATTACCATTTGTCTGCTCATGCCACCACTGCTTCCCCGCACCCCACAAATTAAATCTGCACCAAGTTAGAGGACAGTATGCATGTATCATCGAAACTAGACTGCGTCCTCTATAATAAGCTGTTGTTAATGATCTCTGCACTGCAAAGTTCTCATCAATTCTACTTAGGCTCCCATCTTCCAATATGCATACGGTATTAATCACTCGCATTGCCCTGAGTTCTCATTCTAAATATTGTTGCACGATACTCTCACCCTTTGGAATGAGGCACAGCAGAGACTGTGGTGTCTTTAGGATATATGGTTTATCTATACATATATATACACAACCTGAGCCCACGGTGGAGGGGTTCACAGCATTAACACCCCAAGAGGGCTTTGCTTCTCCATAGCCGCAGCCTTGGATTCCAACAGAAATCAGGCATAGCTCTGTCTCTCAGCTGCCCAGCCTTCAGCCTTGCCAGCTTGCAGCTCACATAACTCAACCCTCTGCCTTGGCCTTTGTCTTTCTAAGTACCAGCAAGGTGAGGGAGGGAACCCAACCTATTTGTCCCCTGGCACAGAGCTACACACAGAGAGGCAATGTGGTGCAGTGGTTAAGAGCGATAGACTCGTAATATGGGGAACCGGGTTCGTGTCTCCGCTCTTCCACATGCAGCTGCTGGGTGACCTTGGGCTAGTCACACTTCTCTGAAGTCTCTCAGCCCCACTCACCTCAGAGAGTGTTTGTTGTGGGGAGGAAGGGAAAGGAGAATGTTAGCTGCTTTGAGACTCCTTTGGGTAGTGATAAAGTGGGATATCAAATCCAAAACTCTTCTTCTCTTTTACCTCCTTTGTTACCTTAGTGGCCCATACTTAAGAGTGCCATTACCTCACCAGGAAGCTAGCCTGGCTCTTCCAGGAATTGAATTCATGCTGGATAAAGGAATGAGAAGAGCACCCAAGCATAAAGCTGGTCCTCCCCACCCAAACTCATAACAACACGTCTCTGCCTGAAAGAAACGAGTAGTTCCAGCTACAGATGGAGTTTCAGTGAGCCTTTAATGCAAGGTGGGAATGACAGGTTTCCAGGAGGCACTTCAGAAAATGGGGGGGGGGGGAGGGTGAATCAACAATTTCACAAAAGGTGCAGTCATCCCTTTCCACTCCTCCTGAAACATTCCTGGACAGAACAGGGAGGAGAGATGGCGGTGAGGGTGAAGCTCACAACACGTGCCCACACCCCTCCCCTCCCCTCCCCTCCCATAGCAAGTCAGAATAGGGGAGAAATTTGGTCCAGGTCACATTTAAAGACAAACCTACCTAAGACTATATTCAAACATGAGGTTTATTGCATTAGCTTTCCTGGTTGTATTACTAGCGCTTCTGTGCCGGTTTCTAACATTATCTTGAGGGTGTATTCAAATGTGCGGAACTAGTTAGTGTACCTTTTTAAAACGCTAAGGCTTCTGTCCCATTTTTCAACTGCAGTAACTGTTGTGTTATGGACTATGTTGTGAAAATTCTCATTCACACCAGTGGGTGTGGTGTGACACAACAACGGATGACCTTGCACAACGTTGCTACTCTCCCACCCTTTCTGCATGTGTTTGCTTCTGTTCCAACATGAAAACAGCAGGAGAGAACTGTATGCTGCTATACCACCCCAAATTTTGTCACATTACTCCCACAATTTTTCAAATTAAGGGGGCTGGAAATCGTTGGGTTTTTTCCTGCAATCAAATAACATGGATATGAGCACTGAACTTGTGCTATATTCCATTAATTTTCCAGAAGTGGCTTGTACATTTGAAAGCTCAAATATAATGTGGAGATTAACAAGGAAACATAAGGGAAATAGAATAAACTGTCAAGGGAAGATAGTCTAACCCTGTTGCATTTTGGAACTGTGGCTTTTTGACCACTGAACCAGTTCCTCGACTGTCGCCTATCAATGCAACTTTCAGAAACATTATTGTTTAGCTTCGGCAGCACAAGAGCTTCACATGTCTCCAAAAATCAAATTTGTCCCATTTGATTTTGCTCAGTATGTCTAACTAGCTATTGAGTTGTAATCTTGCCATTAAATCTGTATTGGTTATGGGACAATGAAGCACAAAAAGAAAAAGGGAGTGCCAATGGAAAGCCAAATCATCATCATCATCATCATCAACAACAACAACTGAAGAGCTGCGAAAGAACATTCAGACTGCTTCTGGAATCTGAACAAAACACAGCAAGGAAAGACAAATGGACTTTATACAGTGTTCTTTTGCTAGATTAATCACTGTGAAGTACTACGGCAAAGGACAGGGATTGGCTTGGTTCTCACAACAAAGACAATTCATTTGGAGACAATCAATAATGTACTGTACCCACATCCATAAGTTACAGCTTCATTCACTGGAAAGAGACAGTTGTTTTTCATTCTTCGAAATGCTTCACCAAGCTGATGTCAATGCAAGGGCCTCCAGAGTTTGTTATTAAACTGACATTTGCAAATGTCAAAGCATTTGTTTCACATATGGGCAACCAAATGCAGAGCTTATCTATTCAGAGAGAGAGAGAGAGAGAACAAAATGAAGAATGGAAAGGAAGATATTTACAGACAGTGGCTCATGAAATCCACTGCCCAGCTTCCATCACTGGGTGTCTGCTCTGCTGGTCTTTGCAACGTTTCAAAGTAGAAATGTGTGCTTGGAACACCCCTACGCCTACAGATGGGATCCCTGCCCTCCCCGTCAATTAGCTACAGCTGAAGATTCTTTTCCACATGCTATATTTGGTACCTGTCATGCACTAATTTAAAAGCTGTGTGTGTGTGTGTGCGCGCGCGCGTGCTTCTATGGGGGCGGGGGAGCCATCATCATCATCATGTTATTAGCATTTTACCGTATTCGCTCTATTAGACGCACCTGACGATTGGACGCACCTAGTTTTTAGGGGAGGAAAACAAGAAATAAGAAAGGAATGCAAAGCATCCTGAGCTAAGAGGGAGCGCTCCTCTATCTTCACTCAGGAGGCTTTGCGGGGCTACCCCTGAAGCCAGGAGAGCAAGCGGGATTGGTGCGCACTGATCCCTCTTGCCCTCCTGGCTTCAGCAAAAGCAAGCCTACTGGCTTTCCTCCCGCAAGAGCCGTGCGCTCTTTAAAGGGAGCGCAGCTCTTGGGGGCTTTTCTGGGAGGTGGGGGAAGGGACAGAGCGCGCGCTCTGCCCCTTCCCCCACCTCCCACAGAAGCCAGGGATAACCGCAGGAAGCCTTCGCAGGACAGCGGGATGAAGGCTCCCCGCTCCCCTGCGGAGATTTCATCCCTTGGTTAAGCCAGAAGCTAGAACAGCCAGCAGGATCCTGCTCGCTGTCCTGGCTTCTTCTTTAGCCGCGGGCAGCCTCTCTGGCCGGGAGAGGCTGCGCCAGCTATGGCAGAAGCCAAGACAGCCAGCGGGATCCATCCCGCTCACTGTCCTGGCTGCGCGCGGCTAAGGCTCCCCCAAGAGCTGCGCGCCCTTTAAAGAGCCGTGTGAAGCGTGTGTGCGACTTTTGGGGGCTTTTCCCGAGGTAGGAAAAGCCCCCAAGAGCCACACACACGCTCCACTCGGCTCTTTAAAGGGAGCACTGACAGAGCCTCCCACCTGCATTTGCTGCATAAGATGCATACACATTTCCCCTTACTTTTTAGGAAGGGGAAAGTGCGTCTTATAGAGCAAAAAATATGGTAAGCTGGGGAAATGCCATGGCTCAGTGGCAGAGCGTCCTCTTTGCATGAAGAAGGTCTCAGGTTCAGTTGCCATTCTCCAGGTAAGGTTGGGGATGCCCCTGTCTGAAACCGGGCAGAGCTGCTGTCATACAGTGTGTAGACAATACCGAGGTAACTGGACCAATGATCTGACTCGATATAATATAGCTTCCTATGTTCTTATGCAACCTCAGCAGCTGTGGTGTGCAAAATCAAATGGTTTACATATACCGGTATATATTTGCAACAAATTCAAGAGGCAGCCCTATCTGCACATACTTGGATATTTAATTCCTAAAGACATGGTGGACATGGAGTCGGGAGACATGATAGCTCAGATATAAAGTTCACCAGGGTTACATTCACATGGCAGCTTATTCCACTTTTGTGACATTTCCCTAACTGTTAATTTTCGCAATGCATTTGAGCTTTCACACAAAGTAGGGGTCACTTCCGAAACTATAGTGGAAACATTAACCCTGCTTTGTGAAAATCCCTTGCAGATGACCGCAGTGTCTGTAGACAGACAGACAGGTCATGCAATCCATAGCAGTGACCAGAGGAGGAATGACTGCTGGGAAAGGCGCAGAGAGAAAAAACGCCATAGTGCATCTGCAGCAGCACAACCAGATGCCTTCGTCTGCCGCAGCTACAACAAAACAAATCTCTCCCATATTCGTCTCTACAGCCACAGCAAGCACTGCAACTTTATGACAGCTTGACTTCACCCCCAAAGGTGCACTCCTCCTTAAAAATCTAAACTGGAAACAGAATTGTTAGAACCTAAAACTAAAAATCTGTCAAGAATGTATAATCTGCTGTTGAAATGGAATACACAGGATGAAATGGTTAAATCTGCTATGATTAAATGGGTGCAAGATGTGGGGCATAATATTATGTTTGCTGACTGGGAACGGTTATGGACCACAGGTATGAAATTTACGGCCTGTAACGTCTTAAGAGAAAATATAATGAAAATGATATACAGGTGGTACTTAACCCCAGTCAAGCTAGCAAAAATTTTTCATCTGCCTGATAATAAATGTTGGAAATGTAAAGAAAATGAAGGTACCTTTTTTCACCTTTGGTGGACGTGCCCAAAGATCAAGGCCTTCTGGGAAATGATATATAATGAACTAAAAAAGGTATTGAAATATACTTTCTTGAAGAAACCAGAGGCTTTCCTCTTGGGCATGGTCGGCCAATTGGTGCGAAGGGAAGACAGGAATTTCTTTATGTATGCGACAGCAGCAGCAAGAATACTCACTGGGAAATACTGGAAGACACAAGAATTGCCTACCCGAGAAGAATGGCAGAGAAAAGTGATAGACTATATGGAACTGGCTGAGATGACCGGCAGAATTCGAGATCAAGAAGAAGGGTCGATGGAAGAAGATTGGAAAAAATTTAAAACATATCTTCAGAAATACTGTAATATAAAAGAATGTTAGAAAAGGTTGGAGAAGAATATTAGACCGTATTGGCAGACAGAGTATAATGGAACAAGTAAATATGAAGTGTAAAATAAAAGATAGAGGAGAATTAAATATTTTCGAATGTTAAAATAAGTAAATGAAAAGAAGGTTAGAAGGGTTTGCTGGAGATACGATTCAAATTAGTATACAAAGCAGAGAAGTGAGAGGAAGTCACGGAAATAAGTAAATGGGAAAACGGTTCTAATGGTTTAATTTGATTTTTTGTTACTTTTGTATTGTGATTTTTTGTCTTTTGTATTTTTTTTTGTACCGTGTGTTGTTGTTTCTTTTTGTAGGATGTATGCGATTTGTTTTTCTTTTTTTGCTTTTTTCTTTTTCTGTAATCTTAAAATTGGAATAAATATTCTTTAAAAAAAAAAAAAAACAAAGGTGCACTCCTCCTTTGTCCCCCAAGACAGATGGATGCCAGCAACGATCAGCAATAGTGGAATATAGCACACGTTTAGCACTCGTTTCCATAATATAATTAAAAAAATTATTATTATTATTATTATTATTAATACCCCGCCCATCTGGCTGGGTGGCTTCCAACTGAATATTAAAACAATACAGTGTCAGACATTAAAAACTTCCCTAAACAGTTGTCTTTTAAAAGTAAAATAGTTGTTTATTGCCTTGACATCTGCTGGGAGGGCGTTCCACAGGGCAGGCGCCACTACCGAGAAGGCCCTCTGCCTGGTTCCCTGTAACTTGGTTTCTCGCAGCGAGGGAACTGCCAGAAGGCCCTCGGCACTGGACCTCAGTGTCCAGGCTGGATGATGGGGGTGGAGATGCTCCTTCATGTATACAGGACCGAGGACATATTATTTGCATATAGATTTCTCCCCCCCCCACCCGCCACTATAGTCCCAGAAGTGGTTTTATTTTGTGTGATTACTTAAATATAATGTAGACCTTAACAGTTGGAGTAATAGTTGGTAATGAAAACAGAATAAACCGCCATGGGAATACAGCCCAGGTGACCTTTGGCTGCCATTTTCTTTCTCTCAGTCTCTCTCAGCCTATTTTACCATAGAAGGCTGTGGGAAGAAAGCGGAGATGGGACTTCCGGAGGTGGCACCAACGGCAATGGCGGAATCCCTCTAATCCAGAGGGAGACCGCTCCACAGAAATCGGGTCTAAAACCGCTTCGGCGCAGCGGGGACCCTTCAAACCACAGGCGGGTGAAGCCTGTGACCCTGGGACTCGGCGGGCACTGTTTGCGCCCCCCCAATCTGCAAAGGAGCCCGGCAACGGGCTCTGGAACAGAGCGGGGAAGTGAAGGCGTTGTGCTGCGAGTCGTCTGCTTCTTTTGTGGAGTGAAGCCGCGTAGCTGTTGCCGGAGAGCGCTGCCTTTTTTCCTGGACAATTCGGACTTTAAAACAAATATCCGTGAGTACCCATAATTTGAACAAATTGGGACATTAAATGAAGACTAGTGAAAAGGGCAGAATTGGACTATTAAAAAAAAAAAAGAAAAATCGATTGAATTTGGTACGGAGCGGTAAGGGCTAAACAGGAAGTCACCCTTCCGTTCTTTTGTAAATATAACAAAGCAAAGACAACTTATACTAGAGCTTTGAAAATTGCTTTTAAAAGAGTGGATTCCAACATTTCAAATTGGGAATATTTTTTTTTGGACTATTTGAAGCAGTAAAAGGAAGTTATTTTCGTCCTGATCCTGGAGCGGGGAAGTCAGGACTGACGTGAACCAATCAAGGTATCTGTGTGTGACAGATAGTTAAAAGAAGAGAATTTTCGTGACTCTACTGTTCCCTTTCGCATTTTAAAGGAATATATATGGATAAAGGATTTTAAGTAACATGGAAATGTATCAGAAACAAATATAAGTCTTCTCCCTAGGGGGAGCCTTAGAAACTGTAACTAATGCCAAGGACTTGACAGCTGTTACAAAGAATCGTGGGAGAGTGCAACAATGTTTTCAGAAGTTGTGGTTTGCCTGCTCAATAAAACAAATATTCTACTGGAAGAACTACATGATAAGGTGAACCAGATGGCCAAGTCGACTGGAAATCTCAGATTGGCAGTGGAAGGCGTTGATCAAACTGTGGGAATATATGTGGAGTCTATCCAGGACTCAAACCAGGAGTGTGTTTTGACAGAACAAGGGTTTGTGGCATTAAATCAGGAGTGTGGCTTGACAGAACAGTCTCAACAGGAGCTTGATCCTTCGGATTTGATAATGGAACTTGGAAAAAATCAGATATGGGAAGGGAAAGTTTGGTGTGGTTTGGAAATGTGGGGCTGGATAGATCCCCCTTTGTTGGGATATCTGTACTTTTTAAATACAGTAACAGGCTGCGACATGTTTGGAATTGTGGGGGCCCACAACTTCGGAGGGCCCTTGAAGTATGTTCTTAAATACTACATGGAATGCAGCGATGAACAGGGAAAAGGATCTGATCTGATGAGAA